CTTTTGAGTAGTTTTGGAGTTACTGTAAAAAGTAGAGAATAATGTTGTTTTTGAAAGATTCAATCAAACAGTGTTGAAGATACTGCGTAGTATGTTGAGCCAATATGGTCTACCATATTGGACTAAAACTATTAAGTTGCAATGGATTTGTTAAAATTTTATTATTTATTGCAATTAAGTTTTTAACACCGTTTGAACTGAGTGACAAACAGATGAGTGATTATAGTCTTTTGAAAATTTTTTACAGCTTATTCTTTCATACATAAGGAGAATATAATCGAGTTAGATTTCACATCCAAAAATTGTTGTTTTATTTTGGATATGCTAGTGATGTGAAGGATATAAACGACGGAGTTTGATAATCTATAAAGTTATTGTTAGTGAAATAATATTTTCCAATGAATCCAAATTAATGAAAGAATCTTCATTCTTTTCACACATACAAGAAAAAATATCCATTCACGGATGTTGTTGAGATAAAGATTGATCATTATGTAATTAATGATATGACACAAGGAGAAGCTCTGATAAGATGGAGCAAATTTCTAAATATCATGAATTAGAGTAGCAGATTATTATTGATGAGCTCTTACGTATATGCACGAGACGATAAAGATCAACTAGAATCTTCTATTATGATATCATCAAATCGAATAAGTAGAGTTCTTATAATTTATAAATTATGGGCTCATTCATTCATTTTTGAAGATTGTGATATTGATACGAAGTATGTTGATGACATTGTGTTGATCTTGGAAGAAAAAATAATATTTTTTTTTACGAAAAAACTCAAGACTCTTTCAATAAGTTTGGATGAAAAGATGCCATGAAGCTCAAGATTTATTTGCTAGTGGATAATAAGACCTAGAAGCTAGTGAAATTATCAAGAAATCAAACTTTGATTGCAAGTGAATGCATAAATTAAAGTAAAATCTAGTTGATGACAAGAAGAGTATATTAAAAACCAAGTTGATGATTAGAGCTTTCACACCAAAAAAAGTTGTGAAATGAAACAAAGTTTTTTTACTTGCAGTAAAATATGCTACAATTTGTCTAGTATGTGCACTTGCTACGATTATTCAATCTTGTTATGAGTAAAATAATTGTAGTTACAACATTTTTCTATGAATCTTTAGAGGAAAAAATCTTCATGAAACCACCAGGTGATTTTGAGATTAAAGTTCAAGAGAAGTTGATTTATAGATTGTTGAGATAATTTTGTAGATTGAAGCAAACTCATATGTAATGAAATGCAAGATATGATGAGTTCATAAAAGCGCAAGATTCTTCACGGAGTGTGTATTATACTTGTGTGTAGATGAAAAAAGTGAATAATGAGATGTTCAATTTTATTATTGTAGTATTTTATGTGGATGATAAAATAAACTAACCAAAGTTTATTTTGTCAAAAAATCAATCTAACGTTGACAAATGCAAAAATCTGCATAGAAAGATTTGAGTATGTTCTAAAGAATATTTTAAAGATGTATATTCATAAAGATTTGATGAAGACTCAATAATTGAGTCAAAGCAAATATATTCAACATGTGCTTGATAGGTTTGACATGTCAATATCTACAAAAGTATAGACTTCTTTATGAGCTTATTTTAAACATTTTGCAGTTCAATGTGCAACCAATGTCATTGAAAAGTATAAGATTTCATGTGTTTCCTATGACAAAGTTGTGGATAGCCTCAATGTGCACAAGACTTGATATTGCTCTAGAGATGGAAAAAATGAGTATGTTTATATCAAATTCCAAAAATGTGCATTGAAGAGTGGCAAAATAGATTTCTACATACGTTAAGATTTCTAACGATTATAGTTTATTGTTTGATGATTTATTATACAATGTCAAATCTTTGTTAGGCTACATTGATGTTGACTATAAACAAAATCTGGACTAGAGAAGATCTACAACTGGATATGTGTTTACACATGATGATGGTGGATGCTTTAGTTGGAGATCTATCTTGCAGAAATGCATAACTCAATCTTCAACAAACGCTGAATATATAGCGGCATCAAAATAACAAAGTAAACTATTTAGTTTAATAGGTTTATCGATAAGATAAAATTGAAATAGTGAATTGTCAATATTCTCTATGATAATCAAAATGCATTACATCTTGCTACAAATCAAGTGATGGATAATAGAGTGAAACAAATTAGCGTAAGGTATTATTTTATCAAAAATGCAGTTTTTGATAAAAGAATAGAGTTACTCAAAATTGATAGTAAATTCAATTCGTATGATACATTGACAAAAGTTATTTTTTTGGAGAGTTTTAGGAGATATTGTGATGTTATGGAGATTGGCATGAGAGACACAAGTAGAATGATTAGCGGTTTCATCTATATTTTCTTTACTCTATCATGTTTTGGTTACGTCTTGGTTCTAATTCGTTGTCTTGGTTCGTCAAAATGAATGAAAGAATAATTCTAATTCGTCGTCGACAATTCTAATTCTACGTCTTGGTTTAAAGAAGTATCTTTGTTAGAATTCTTTCTAAGACTTTCCGTAGAGTTTTTATATAAATTAAGGGGTTGTAATTACTCTACGTTGAGGAGATTGTTAGGTGTAATACTTTTCGGTGACAACAGTGAATCGGTGAAACGATGTCGATAATGATAAATTCAAGGTATAAGATATGTGGCTTCCAATGATTATTGATTACTTAAGGCGATGAACAACATTTTATCGTCTGAAACACTCAAAATGTTCACGTGGAACTACTATGTGCGTGATTTATCCTATGATTGTCCAAGTGTCTCTTAAATATCTTCAAGCATTAATTTGTAATAGTTTTATATGAGATCCATCATAGATACTAATGTCTATAGTATCAAGTTTTGGTTTTGAAAAGTAATTTTCTCTTCTAATTTTTTTTTGATATAACTCCACATTGATAATGTGGAGTTAATAAACAATGATAATGGATACATTTGTTGAAAATCACCACTACTAAAAAGTTGTACCTTATAGTTTTCAAGCTAGGTGAATATAATTAAGTGACAAGTTGTGACTTGTCTAGCCTAATTCTTTGAAGATGGTGTTATGAAAAAGAAGGATGTTTAAACGCAGATTCTCTAATAATGCAATTGGTAAGTGAGTGCCATGAATTTGCATGATGTCTTCACAAGAGTGCTTAACTCCTTTTTTGGCCATTAATTTGGTTTTTGGACTTTTAACATTGATTGTGAGTTGACTTAACATTCGAACTAGCTAGGTTTGCTTAGTGGGATTCCATGCATGGATGGATCAAATCCATGTATCTTTCTATGTACCGGAGATAAGAGCCATATATGCCGATGTCAATTCATGAAGCTTCATGAGAATAAAAACTATCATTCTTTTGAGATTTTGAGCTAGTTGGAACATCAAAACCAAGTATTTTGCCACTAACTAGGAAGAAGAGTTCCATGTTTGATCTAGCCTGTTTGAGCTCTTTAACCACAAATTTTGTCAACTTTTCCAAATGTATCTTCTTGCTGGAAGTGAATGGCTAGATGTTTCTTCACATGAGTCTTGCATTGCTTGGTGAAAATCTGCAGAGACTACGATGGAGATTCATTTTGAGCGCAACAGCACAAATACACGATGAAGGAAGAGAGACCCTTGCAGGAACACAACACCTAGAACAGCACCATCCCCAGCCCCCGAACTACAGCAGCCCGCTCCCGGACCACAACAGGGGGCTGATTGTGCAGCCAAAAATCAATGCGTGCTGTGTGTATTTAGGTGGACTTGCCCGCAGCTAAGGTAACTCACACGGTTGTGCGAGGGCCAACCATCGACCGTGCGCAGATGGAAGGGGAAGGATTGAGTGGTAAGATTTTTCATGAGTCTTGCAATTTTTTGTGAACGAGGGTCATTTCTTTGATCGTCTTTGGATATAAAAGCACTCTTTTTCAAATCACCAAATCTTAGATGACCTTAATGCATGTGTCACTTCTCTTACTAGTGTTTTTGTTGTACAAATTAGACACGCTTGTTTCCTTACGTTGGAATATACTCTGCTGAGCTCTCAGCCGATCCATCCATCCATGTGTCATTATAAGCAAGAAATGAACATTCTTCTCATGTTTTTTTAAATGCAATCATAAGGTCATTGCTTAAGAAATCTGCTTTGTAGTGGATGATAGACATTGCGGTCTCGTTACACATGCTTTTAACTAGTTCATTATCCAACTTTATTATTTGATCTTCAAATTCTATTTGTTTCATTCAAACAAATCTTCTCATTTGTAGTTATCGTATTAATGATGTATCGTTTATTTTCTACTGTTTGATAGTTGAATTTATTTTATTTTGCTATCCACTTGGCATGCTTTGGAAGTTTTTTGACATAAGGTTTGACTTCCGCATATTTGCAAGAGGATTACAAGTCGTTTATTGTAGATATTTCACGTAGAATCCTAACATGAAATGATAATGAAATTATACTTGTCACTAGCATTATATTCCGGAGTTAGTCATGGTTTATTCACACGCTTGTGCCGAAGACCGATAATAATATGTGATGAGAAGGAAAAGCTCAATATAGGGTGCTTGTGTGTTAAGGGTGAACATCCTTGGCAATAAAAGATTAAGTTGAAGTATAGAGTTAATTTTTCAATATCGCCTAGTTTTCTCTTATTGGGTTAAATATCATCCCTAAGAATTCATTTCAGCCCTGCAATTCCAGACAGATGACTTGGAGGTCTACTCCCTATGAGTGACACCAGAAGATGTAGGTACTCCAACCCGATGAGAAAGTATAGTTTGCCAAGACACAATCGAGTCCGAAGATCGGAACGAATGATCGCAAACAACATAAATACAAGCAGTGAGGAGATTTATTGATTACTTCATCTGCATTGGGATGAAATGCATGTTACACTTGGTAGAAAATTGAACTTTATTCCCAACAATTGCCATCCGGTGTCTTGCGGCAATGAAAGGGAGGAGGAATGGCAGAGTGGTCCTCGTTCCATCGATCCATCCATGGCCATGGATGCAGTCCTCCGGCGGAGGGGAGGGATGCTGGCTTCGCGAATGAAGTCAAGGGGACGCCGGTGCGGGCGGCACTGCGGGAGAGCAATGCGACGCTGGGAATGGAGAGCGGGGGCAGTGGACGGGGCCAATAAGCCTTTTGCGTGATGATTGATCGATCCGATCCCTGGTCTCTGGGGCACGTTACGTGCCAAAGGGGCCTCCTGGACATTCAGAGGCCCCAGCCGCGTTTCCCCCGCTCTCGAATTACAGCGTGGCAGCATGTTTTGGGGTTGGGATTGGGCTAGAGTGTTGATCTGATCTGCACGAATTCGTTCATTCCATGTCCAGCCGAAGCTGTGTCTGGGTTGGAGACGAATTGTCGCTGGATAGCGTTCACGTCGGGCCTCCAACTGTCTTCGGAGGTCTTGGACTTCTGCGAAAGCCGGGTCTTTTTGCGATTCACATAATTGGAGAGAAGAACGGCATCAGTTTTCCTGTCACGGTAGGAGTGTGCGGAGAAGCTGCCGGCAATCATCTGCGGAAGTATGTGAATGTTGGATGTCCTCAATTTGAGGAACTGCAGGATTGCTGAATTGAATTGGTGATGTCTTGATATGCTGCTCGATACAGCAGGTTTGCAAATTTCGTTGGCGCTTCTGTCGTGTGGCGACAAGTGGGGATGCCTTTAGGTGTATCACAGAGTCTCACAACAACACTGGCTTCCTCAAGAACCATATACTTGTCAAATCCGGGGATTTCTGAGAACTATGTCTGTGGTGAGTGTGCTTTTCTTGTCATGAGAGACCTCTTGCATCTACTTAAGGTTGATGTGCTGCATGAATTAGCAAATAGCTGGACCAATTGTTTTTGACACGATTTAATTTGATGAAGGTCATGTCTTACCTGATGGTTTATGAACTCGAGAGTACGACTTTCCAAATTAGCATATGGGGTTATTGACAAATGATAGTCGTAAGGAAAAAAACGAAGCTCTGGAGAGACGGATCAACTCTGAAAATTATGGTCAGAAATTGAATTATCTTGCCCGCAACTTACTCTCTTTATTTCACCATTTTTTGATGATATGGTGGAACTTGCAGGACGGAGTCACATAAGACACTGTAACACCGTTGTTGCAAAGGTGAAGTGTAATGTTGCCTCGCCCGGAGACACGGGAAGCAGTTCGGAAATGAAGCTTCTCCACACAAATAATTGTACTGGTATTTCGCAGGCTGCAGTATGTAACTCCAGCCTTATAATTCGCGAAGCGTATTTGACAGACTTCTGGGAAGTCTCAGATACTCACTGTGGCGCGTTCTTCCCACATGTCAAGTTTCCGATGGATTTTATTCTGCGAAGTGATAGGTATGTTTCATGCATCCATCGATCAGTTTTCGAAACCTTTGCATCTTATCACACAGATATGCTTGGTGCATGTATATTGACTTGTATACAAGGAAAATACTACACTCGAGTGCTGCAAGCAAGACCATTGTCTCTTCAGAGATCTACAAACTTCACGTTAGGCTATCATAATGTTAAGTTTGTAAATGCCTGCTTGTATTTCATCCTATTTAAATTTTAATGCTTGTTTCTAAATGCCTATCGAGAGGCCTTCCAGTGAATATCCACATGGTCGTGAAATGATTTGGGTGGAACAATACGTGATAAACTCAAGGTACCTTCGTTTTGCTAACAATTGAAATCGGGTGGTAAAGGGCTATGACAATGCTTGGGAATCTGACACTACCATCAGATCAGAAGCGCATTTGTTTGGTTGCCCTGGAAGCTCTTTATTTGGATAGTGTGGAGACGGAAAGTAAAGGGGAGAACTCGAAGCCGCAATTTTCCTTTCTCGTCAACTTGGCTGGAGCCGGTGAGCTTTCAAGCAAAGTCTCTGGAGCATTGACTATGGACACCCTTGCAGAATTTTTACCTCGACGGAAGCCTCTGAGCCGGCGTAGGTATGTGATGATGACGAAGGCAACTAAAATCACGCATTTCATTCTTCCTGTCATACACTAAGTTACAAGCTGCACTTGCTCAAGGGGCAAAAGAGAAAAGTCAAGTATATTATAAAATAGGTTGGAGACTGAAAACATGTAGAAGTATGAAAGCAGAGCTAGTAATTAGCTGCTTGTCCTGATTATAGGGAACATCTTGTTGTCGCCTCCCTTCTGTCTTTGCTCCTCTATTGCAACTTGAGCGAAGAACCTTGTCATCTGGATCATGTAGTCAGAAGCTTCGTAGCTGTATGTAAAGCTTAAGGCGTCAATTCGCTATCTCACTGGTTCATATGGCGAAGACTATCTGACGTTGATTACCCCCGAAGAGATGAAGGCTATCTAAGACAAGGATCTTACAGGTAGATACGAACTGATGCAGGACCGGGATAGCTTACGTTTCAAATGTTGCTGTGCGGCCCTCACGTAGGAGGAGAGGAATTGCTGGTCGGTTGATTAAGGAGGCACAAAGAATTGCACGTACTTGGGGATGCCGGTCAATGGCACTTCATGTTGATGTCAACAACGCTGCTGCGGAGGCCTTGTATTTGCGACAAGGATTCAGACGCGTGAAGATTCCTGCAGGAGCTAAATGGCCTCAACCTCAGGCTCTCCCTGGTGCCAATCTGCAACTGATGATGAAGCACTTAGGATGTTGAGTTGAATGCCCTATGGTACCAAGACGGCCAAGACGGGTTAGATGGCCAAGACGGGTTCTTGTGAAAATAGTGAGAAATCATAACTGTGCCATACATATGTACCAATTGTGTCATACATGTAACAAACAACTGTACAGGTTAACTCAAGTTTCTCTGAAGAGGCTGTATTTGACAGACCAAATATATATATATATATGCCTTCAGGATAAGCGCTGGAAAAAGCGTTCAATTTATAGTCACTTCAAGTGCACGGAATATGACTTTGTATTGAAGAACACATGCAAGGAAGAATGCTATAAAAATCGTGTTTTTCAGTTCGTGAAGCGACCAGATTATCAACCTTGGTTTTGTGAACGCGGGCAATTGTGAACTTTATTTAGGCACAGGAATTACTGTCTAAGGTCTTCAACATCTTAGACAATATGTTTCACTGGAACGTGAAGGCTTCCATAAACCTCGAGCAACGAATTTACTCTAAACTCACGACCTCTTCTTTTCATGTCTTCTATATTCTTGAACCTCACTACCCTACTGGCCTTGAATATTGGCACGTGACGAAGAGCTCTATAAATGATGAGACTTCAATCCCAAGAGCAATAATCCTTACAGCAGCGATGTTATGTACAGAGTGTCGGTTACTAGATAACTCTAACAAATGGGGGGTTAAACAACGGGAGGAAGACTCAAAACTCAAAACTGGAAATCAGTTCTCAAAATTATGCTTCTAAGTGTCCACGATGAACTCATCCTCTATACAGTACCTTATCCTCCACCATGCTTCCTGACTATTTATCATGATGGAGACTAAAAAGAATACTCAAGTGAAATGGCCGACTGCAATGGTCAGGCGTTTTCTCCCAATTTGACTTTGGATATGTCAACCACAATTGACGGATAAATTACAGTGCCAGGAACTCTGAGTACACTGACAAATCTAGAGGTAGGGCTGAAAGCTTCCCTTACAAATCTGCCAGAATCCAAGAAGAGAAGGTGAGATGACTCAGAAAAACACTAGTCCTTGAAAAAGTTCAGTTTGGTCCCGTCATTCACGTTACGGATATTTGTGGATGCAAGACTCGATGTTCTGGTTAATCCTATGAAAATCACGGATTTTCCCGAGTTGTAAGAAACAAAGGTGCGCAGACAGACCTCATACACGTAACTAAGGAGGCGCAGGATGATAAACGTAAGCGAAAATCTGTACAGACGTACCTGTAACAAACTCCATAATGACTCCATGCATTCCACTGTATCAGCTCGCCTCATCTACTTTCTAGCTGCTGCTTGTCCAGCTCGGACAACCTTCGTGCTGAAAGACTGAACACAAAACACCAGACTATCAAAGTTCAGACAACAACCCTCTAATGGATGGGGTCCCTCAGTGAAAAGGACATGAGGATGTATATCAACAACTTTTCTTTCCAGCGAGGCATCAGAACAGATCGATCTATCGTTGAGCCTGCAAGTGTAGATTCAGAATTGTCTCCGAACTCACCATATTGACATTAAGGCTCTTTTCACACGCTTCCGAAAGTGCAAGATACATTTAAGTTCTACATATATTTGCCTGCCTCAGGGCCCTAGACACCGAGCATGGTGGAACATGAAACCAGAATCCACAAAATTAACGCAGAAAACACATACCTTGCTTATCGGTGTAGAGTGTCCGGTATCGAACATGGGCTGTAATGTCAAAAAGAATTCTTCGGCCTCCTTATCAGTGATTGAAAGTGCTTCTTCCATATAATTGTCGAACTGTTTGTCAAGCTCTTTGGCGGCCTCGTTCATGAACTCCTCGGACTGACGAAGAAGGTCTTGGTCGTTACAGTTACGTCGAGATCTTTCATATCCTTCTTCAAGAGATTCTTTTTTCCTCTCATTTATGGCCCCATAGCAACAGATTGCCAGCAAAGCACACTTCCCCACTCCTGGTGTGTTGACAGATAAAATGCTGGCAGGAATATTGGCCTTTAAACGGTCGTACTCCACTTTCAAGCGCTCAAATTCTTCCTTGGTTACCTTTGACTGAAAGAGCTTCTGAAACTTGGGATATATCTCATCAAAGTCCTCCTTGACGCTTTCAATTTCCTCTCTCAGTGTTTCATTTTCTGTCAAGATCCTATTATACTGATCCATATTTACTCCTTGACCCTCCATCTTCTTTATAGAACTGACGGCGGCAATCGAACCTACAGATTCCTTCTCTTTTAACGAGCTCTCCAGCTTTTCTACCTGCTTTTGTAGCCCATGGATAAACCCAGAAGCATTTTCGGCTTCCATCTGTTTGTCTTCCTCCATGACCCTTAACTCTTCCTTCAAACTCTCTATTTCCTTCAGAAGCGCTGCCTGAGGTGCAGCGCCCGTCTTTAAGGCTGCTTCCTTCTCCTTCAGAAGCACCTCTAGGCTCTGGATGCGGTCCATGAGATCAGCTATCTCTTCTTCTTTCTCATTCTTCATCATTTCAAAATCATGCATCAGATCATGCTCTCTCTGTGCCGCATCTTCCTGCAGTTTTTCAAATTCTTCCGAAAGCTCCAAAAACTCTGCCCTGCTAAGCTTCGTTGTTTCTTCGGCTGTTACTAAATCCTTCTTCAAAAGATTCAGCTGCTGAGCAAGACTCGAATGATCATCCAGTCCTCGACTCATGACTAACTCTTTTTCCTTCAGCTCCTGTTCCTTCTCAGTCCTAAAAAGCTCATACTCTTCCTTCAGCGTTTCATACTCCTCCTTCAGCGTTTCATACTTCTCGATCAAGTCTCCATTCTCCTTTTCCAGAGCTTCGTAATCATCGTTGAGAGTGGAGTAGTCGCGTGCCCTCGCCTCGGATGCAGCTTCCTTCTCCTCGAGCAATTGCTCCAACTCTACCAGTTTCGCTTCCTTATCCTTCAGGAGTTGGTCCACTTCCAATAACTTAGCTTCCTTGTCCTTCACCAACGCATGAAAATCTCCAATGAGTTCAGTCCACTTTGCCGCTTCCTCCTTCAAATTCTTGTTCTCCATGAGAATATCTGCCTCTCTTTCCGCAGCTAAACTTGCGTTTCCTTCCATGGCTTCCCTCTCTTCTTCAAGCCGCTTCACATTATCCACTAGCTCTTTTACTTCATAATCATGAAGTTCCACGTACCGTGTGTGAGCTCTTTCGAGTTCTTCGTACTTAGCTGCAAAAACACTTCCTGTTTCTCCCTTTTCCTTCAACGTCATTGTCTCCTTTGTCAACTCACTGTGTTTCTCCTCCCATTCCCTCTCAGCTAATGCCTTCTCTTCCTTCCACTCATCAAATTCTTCGTTGAGAGTTAAGAGTTCCTTCGCTAGGCTTTCATACTTTTCAGCGAAGGCAATCGCTGCATCTTCCTTCTCCTTCATTAGATTTTCATACTCTGAGGTCAAAGTGACGTGCATCTGCTTCAGCTTCTCAAGTTCACTAGACAGGTTCGAGACTTCTGCTCTGAGAGTTTCTTCTTTCTCCGCTTCCGTTGCGACCAGACCTCTGGCAAGGATTGCGTTCTCCACGGCCTCCGACTTCTCCGTCTTCAACTTTTCAACCTCCTCCTCCAGATTTGCGTTGAATACTGCCAACTCGTCCCGTTGTTTCTCTAGAGTTTCCTTCTCTTCCATTAATACATTGTAATCTTCAGTGAGCCTCAACTGATCTCTCACAAGCTGTTCCTGTTTTTCGGCACTATTTCTGGCTGCCTCTTCCAACACTGACTTTGTATCCTCAAGACCATTGATGAAGATCAAGAGCTCCTGCTTCTCATTTTCGGACTGTGTTGCGAGAGTTGAGTGCTCTTTGACTACATTATCGAACTTCTCTGCACTTAGTCTCGAATCCTCGTCACTTTTCAACTTCAAAAGCTCAAACTGTCTAGTCAGCTCCAAATGTGCCTCCTTTAGTTTGTCAAACTCTAGGGCCATGTCCGCATGCATTTGCTTGTCTACTTCCGTGGTCTCCAGTTCTCGTGCAAGACTAGCAAACTCCAAAGCTTCATCTTTCTCTAACATCACCTTCTCAAACTGCTCCTGAATAGATGCATACGATGCCTCGCCCGTTCTCAGTGCTTCTTGGCTTTGGATCAACTCCTTTTCGAGGGCTTCTATTCGGCTGACGTAGATCCGAGTGGCATACTCTGCATCATCTTCCTTCTCTTTTTTCAATCTCTCAATGTCATCGCTAAGTTTTGCACATTCCAAAACAGCTTCAGCTTTTTCTCGTCTTAATCTCTCCAGCTCACCATCACCGGATCTTCCCATGGTCTGTTGCTTCGTGTATTTGTCGCTGAGCTGCATAAAGTTTTTAGCCATCACCTTTGCTTGCTCCTCCTTCTCTTCTTTCTCCTTTCTATACAACTCAAACTCCCGGGCAAGCTTGGCATACTCGTCAGACCTGACTGACCCAGCCGGGACCAGCGCACCATGTTGGGATATTTCCGGAGCAGGAGGATCCCCAAGTTGAGTCGGACATTCCACTCTACTGTACTCGAACTGTACTTGACGAGGGACGTTCATGTAACAGAGTAGACAGAAGACCTTCTCCGGAACTCTGCTTCATGACAAGGGGGGGAGACAGGCAGTCCATGAAAGCTGTTCAGATACCACGAGGTCGTTCGAGCACCATTCGAACTCATACGCACACGCAACCTATGTTGGTCTGAATAATATCACCTTTTCATACCAAGCAGTGTTCAATGCCTACCTTTGGTTGACATACGCAGGCCCACAAATTGGGACTTCCCCGCAACTCATACACGAATAGACAAAAATTTGACGCACTTTGTTTATCTCGGGCCGCTCAACTCTCACGAACTCCTCGTTCTTGATGGTACCCTTGATAAATTTCGTATCAAAACAGACCAGACAGAGAGAGTAGTCCGGATATCTGCAGTCCATCAAAACATCGACGTCAGGTTTGAGCACTGATGTCGTAATGATCATCTGACAAGCGATCACTGCATTTAAACTATAAGGAAACTAAACGGAATGCGTAATTTCGTGACTTTCATGTACTTACGCTATTGAGTCGAAACGAGGCCCTGTTATGGGTTTGACGCCACACGACCCACATCGTTTGTGGAAGTGGAAAACCGGACTGTGCGTCGTGCATATTGTTGGAATTTTGACCTCTTCGATAATTTCGTATTCTCTGGCGGCCTGCGGCTGTTTAGTATAGCAGTCGACGCATAGATTGCGGTTCGGTCGCCTACGTTAAACAGAATTCGAGTTCCAGCAATTAAACGGCCAGTAGAATCATGTTCAAACTAGAACTGCCTATGAACATAACATACTGTGCTCCGGACTGATCGAAACTTTACAGCAGCACAAGAATGCAGAAATTCCCTTACCATTTATGGTGGTAGCGCCTTCCTTCGATCGGAGCTGTTCCACATTCGTCACACACGATGTAGTAGACTTGAAAAGGAGGATGAAAATTGTTACTGTCCCTTGCGATTCGCAGGAAATTATGCCCCCTTTGAGTGTGCCCCAGGCGGAAGCATTTCTCGCACAAATCATGGTTGGGGCAGCTGCGGAGGCACGGGCAAGGACCAAAGGCAAAGATAGACAGACGTGAGTGACTATGTGAATCAGTGAATCAGTCCGTCCGTCACAATCTGATTCGCATCAGCTGGCAACTCGAACGATCTACAACCTGCCCTACCCTCGACCACTCCCATAACTTCATCAGATTGGGCATTGAGCGGAGATGAGACTTTACATACCTGTCACATCTGAAACGATAACCCGAAATTGGAGTGACGTTGCAATTCCCACACGAAACACCTGTATGAATCCAGGGAAGACCCAAACTCTTCACCGCCACAGCCATGGAAGTATAATTTCTCTAAAGGTCGCGTCCTGATCCTCACGAAGAGTACTCCTGCCGTCCTCGTTTAGACTTGCGACTGTCCATCTCTCTACATCAGCCTCATTTTCTTCTCACACAGAGACTCAACATACTCATAAATCATCAGCCGACCTGCATTCCAGGAATGACAGAGAAGAATTGTCGGGTGCCGTGGGAATGCGGTACTCGCGTCGATGAGAAATAACGTCCTACTAGATTTTACGGAAGACGAGGAGAAGCAGAAACTACAAAACAATTCCAAAATTATGCAATCGAGCACACCAACAAGCCCGTCGGCAGCGCGTCGGGTTCATAGAGTCGTCGGATCGGTTTCAAAATGTGGTTCTAATTCCCAAACTGACGACGAATCCGACCCAAGACTGCCACGACAATCTTCTATCTGGACACAATTCGAAGCAGCAAAGCGGGATCTAGCTGGCCCGAGGGCGATCCTTCGCGAGCCTCGTCGAGAATCCCACCGCGTCGACCTAGAGTGGCCACTGCGCCAAGTTTCCTAGTCGACTGGACTGTAGCGGCTTTGCATTCTCCTTCCGAACCCAATGAAACAGGAACCTTCCGAAAGGAGCCCTTCCCCGGTTGACCACGTCTGCAGTCCGGGAGTCCTCCTGAAGCAAGGAGTGGCGTCGTCCCGGTGGTGTCTGCTGCGTGTCCTGTTCCCAGAACAGGGCGAGCGCGAGTCCGAAAGTCGCTGCGTCCCGAGGGAAGTGTTATATTCGTCGCAAGAGAGGAGAACGGGAGTGAGCATTTTAGCATCATCTGCATCGTGAGTCTGACTTTTGCAGTGCTACTTGGCTCCGGTCAAACCCCCCACGTTGAGCCGTTCGTGGCCAATGGGAGGGCGCTTTTGCCGGACCCAACTCGGCCCTGTCCCGCTCCTTAGGAAAGACGAAGGCATCGTCCTCTAATTTCCGATCACGTCCACGCGTTTTTGCTCCTTCGTTCTTCGTTGGAGTTTTGGAGTTTGCGCTTTCATGCTCCTGTTTGGAACTTTGGACTCCGACAAGGGACGGATTTGCAGGCGAGGTTGCTACGGTCCCGATCCGTCGAAGCCATTCCTTTTACTTCCTTGCGTTATGCGAACCCTTCGTGGGAATTTATGTAATGCGAAGAGCCACGATGACGTGGATTGCTCTTTGTGGATTCTAGCTCATGATCAGGCCTTTGTAGATTAGGCATGTTCGTAAAGGGATTAATTTGAACCAAATTAGGCGCAAATCCCTAATCGGATTAGTCCTCAACATTTTAAGAATCTTAACATGACTAATATAGAAATGTTTCATTGTGCAAAATGTCATATGGTTTGCATTGGAAAAATTTGTGTAGAGAAAAATTCATCAATGAGAGTTTCTATAAATCATTTTTTATTTCAACATCAAAAAATAACTCTAAGGGTAGGTGAATGAACGAAGTCTCCCAAAACATTGATCGACAAGTTAGACAGTGCAGTGTCACGCATCGTAAAACGAACATTGATGATAGCATGAATCCATGGTTCCATGACACGCTAATACATTCTTTTACATGTGCAAAGTTTTACAAGTTGAGTACCAATCTTGTCAATATCGAAGCAAAATCAACATCAGTTAAAACGATACCTTTTGTTGAATGATAAGACGGTTGATATCATGACTCTTAACCTTCACTACTTCAAAAAGTTACACTAGTGTATCGAAGTCACTGCTGGATCCGCGTGGATCTCGCATAGCTATGCAATCCATAAATCCGTCGAAATGATGTAGAAAATAAGTAACACAATATTACAAAGAGATAACAGTCAAGTCGATTCGATGAGATTGTTGATTGTCATCGAAGCAAAATGACCAAGATCTTCAATGAATATTGTAATGTCAACGTAGAAAGCCGATCAATCATTGCAAATGACATGAATGAAATCATCCAGATTTTCAACGTTGAAGTTGCGAGATGCCATAATAGTGAGCATTAATTCATCAATAAACTGTTGAACATTTATTTGTTGTTGGTTGAGCGTCATACGATGAACTTGGAATCGTATCATCATTGTATGTATGGCACTCGTTAAGTTTTTTGTGGCGGCATTTAGAGTCCACCAAACGTCATTCTCATGTTGAGATGCATGCCGAAAAAAGCTTACTGCAATTTTGGAATAGTGGACATTGATCTCATGACGATGATCATCGAGCCAACTGATGGCACTAAACATAACCAGTTGTAGATATTTTGGAACAAGTCAACTTTATATTGCAAATAAGCTTGTGCTATTGTTGCAAGTGCAAAATAATATATACCAGTGTCGCATAGCATGTATGAACATCGAGACTTAGATGTGTCTTCAATAGAAAATGTCCAGTTGATGGAGAAGATATCACATAGTAATAAACACTTCCAATGAACAATGTTGCAACCACGTAATAACACTAACAACATGATCAATCATGATTCGAGCTTCATCAAACGATGCACCAATCAATTGATTACTCCAATTGAAGTAAAGTACATTGAATAATTTGCACAGTATTTCAAACTATGATACACTAGTATGAGATTCATAAAACGGGATGATATTATATGAAAATTTTGAAGCTGAGAAGGTCAGACAAAATGAGCACGAACATTGATGTATGAGGTAACCATGCAAATAAAGGCATTCAATGTGAGTGAGATAATTCACACCATGTAAAAAATATCAACAATGATTTGGAAGTTGGCATTGCATAGGACGCGTTCAAATGTAACGATCTAGATGTTAGAGATAATTGCAATTTCTTTTGTCACCTAAAGCATCAACATGATCTGTCGGAGATTGATACGGATGCCAACGTACTTGATTGCGAAATGATATGTCAATGGGGTCTTGATCGTCACAAAATAGTAACCCACATCAAGATAAAACATGAACATGTGCATGGCATTGTTGTAGGTTTGAACTTCAACATCTTCAGATTTCAATAGCATTTTTTTTATTATGACCTTGTTTGACTTGGTCGAGATGTGATAGAATTGTGTTTGCGAAGATCATCTCAATTTCAAAGTAAACCAGCTTACATTCTTTAGAGAATGCATGATACTAGGAGTGGATGCTGGCTGTTGAGATAAATGCGATAATTTTTGGGGCGGAATGTTGGATCAAACGTCTTCTTGATGGTCATTTTCAGGCATTTTGCATCAACTTTGCACTCACGACTAAATGCAATACAAAATCTGCATGCAACACTAATTACATGATTCATGTTGGCATCTTTTTCTGAAATTTGAAAATAGTACTACTGTTGATGCCATGTGTTAGCATCTTTTCTTGAAATTTGAAGACAAGTACTATTGTTGATGCAATGTATTGGCATCTTTTTATGAAATTTGAAAACCATACTCCTGTTGATGCAACGTGTTGAAATATGTAACGCTAGGTGCAACCGCAAACTATTGTTTTTTTGTTCTAGCCATTTGCAAATTTGACACTGTGGACTACTCTGCCCTACACTTTTGAGATTAGGCATTTGCAAAATATGAGATAGGCATATTAGGCATCTATTTTAGAATGTCTGATCTATAAAGAATTGTTCATGACCTTGAGGTAGCAATCATATAGCAAATTAGAGACGAAGATCTCATCCATTTCTATTAGAGATGAAACATAGGAGTAGTCTCATGACAATGGATTTTATTTCTTTCTGTAATTATCATTGTACATCATTTAGTTACAATTGTTTACAAACAACAACATATGAAGAAATATCCCATCCTGTTATCTTGATCCATAGATAGTACTTCATAACTACCATGACTACATTATTCACCACATTGATTTACATTGCATTCATTTATAGTCTAGACACCTAGACAAGACACTTCATCTCAATGAGTTCAATGGAATAATCAAGTAAAATTCTACTCTTATGTATTTCATATGGTTACTTCTTTAAACTCATAATTCTTTGACAAGATTATACTAATACCAATATGACGATTTATGATAGGAGTTTCAAGATAATCTTGAAACACACATCATTGGACCAATGACATTTGATATCTTTGATGATGTGTAGAAGTCTAGTCTAATCATTGATGGAAATGATCATACATAATGTGTTTTGTTCATCATCAATATCATTGATCTTCTCATATGTATGCAAGGAAGTAAACTCAAGTTTTTTCATGCAATTATTTTTTATTGTGTATTAGATTTGCTTTGACTTGAAGATAACGAGAAGAATATAAATATTTTTTTATTTTATAAATGTTAATACTAGGAGTTGTCTAATTCATGTGGAAATACAACGCAAGTATTTACATAGAATCGCAATATAGTTTCAACACAAATGAATAAATGATGAACACATTATCATTTTATTGATAGACCTTAATTGTTTCATTAAAAGCAAATCACCATCAAATACTGGCATTCAAGTATTATTCCGAGTAAAAACTAGTCATAATTAACTAAAATAAATCAAAACATTGTTGAACTTCTACCAATATTTACTTGATTTGTACATTGTAACCATTCTTATTAATATACATGACATTAAAATCTCTAAAGCATATGTCATACCTAATCTCCAAAGTATTAACTAAATCAAATCGTAATCTAACTCTGAAGTAGTACATCATGTACAAGAATCATATTTCTATAAAATAACATAATATCTTCTAAAATATTAATAGTTATAAAATTTCAAATCTAAAATAATTAGATTTAAAAAAATTAGTCAAGACATAAGTTAATTGAGTTTTAGTGCAATCTATTATTGTTCAATCTTTTTATATAAACATCACATTCTTGATATAGTGATTAGATGTACTTTATATTGCTATTTATCATTTAATGTGATAATGAGTACTATGAGTAGCAAGATTTTGATTCAACTTTAAATGATACAAAATATTTGACAATATAATCACTTTTGACACATGATTTTCATGGTTAAATCAGCTATGCATATTTCCAACATAATATTCTAACACTACATTTTGCTTCATTTCCTTACCTAGTTCAAGACTTTTTATGGACTTTGTAAACTATTGATATCAAGATAAAAACAACATAAAAATTGTACATTGTACACTAAATTTTCTAAGAGTCATGATTTTTCATTTTCTTGAGATATGTGACAGTACTTAACATACTCAAATGCAACTTATTTTCATTTGACATGTATTTTTTGATTTTGCTTATGCTAGAGCAATATGAGAAACTATGAATACCATCAAACGTATGAAGTTTTTCACTATCTTGTCATAAAGTGTTGATTTGTTTTTTCTACAACTGAATCAAACATATAAATAAATACATCTATATCTACACATAACACGTATATAAGTACAGTTACAATATAAATACAACTTATATATCGTATCTAATTACATCTATATCATACATATAATCATGTGATTCATACATTACAAATGTAGAATAATATCAAGATAAATTGGTTATGACATGTGTTTTAAAATCAAATTTTTAGAAAACTGATTGATTTTACTTTGTTAGTAAATAAACGAATGGATACAAATAAATATTCATGATTAATATTTAAATTATAAATATAATATTAATATTCAAATAATAAAAAACATATAATAGTAGATATTTTATCACTAAATTAAAACATATTGCATCAATATGCTTAATATCAATATATTAAATCTGAATTAGCTAACTGAACATCATATTTGATTAAAATTGGAGATCAATAAATCTAACCTATTGTAGATTAGTACGATATATAAATTTCCATGTTCCATCTATTTGCAATTACTTTTCATATAACATGACGTAAAATTTGCAAAGTCTTTCTATTAATGAAACTAACCTTTTGATCTAAATTCTATCTGATCTATGATCGTCTGATTATTTATTTAATATTGTCATTGAAAACTCATTAAATTTTAAAAAGAAGTCCTTAATCATGGAAAACTTCTGTCTTAACTCATGATAGCCACGAACAAAGAGATATGATATTTAAAAAAAAATATATATAAATTCTATCAAGTTTTGATGATAAATTTTTGTTGATTCGATTCATAAAATTTAAAATTAATCACAAAAATGAATCAAGTTAATAAAAAATAATTATATTTCAAAATATTTCATGATCTAAGTTTCATTTTAATCTGACTGCTATGTAACAGTTTGTGATATATATCTAAAGATTTCAAACTAGTAAAAAAATGTTATGGTTTTCTAAATTATAATTATACAATCAAGGTAAAAAATATGAATTATAAATTAGGTAATTGCTTAGACATCATCAGATACCATATTCAGTTATATATTTTATTATTATGATCACATGTGGTATAAGTGAGAATCTATCAAAAACATGATTTCAATTGAAATAATATAATATATGGTTTTATTTTAAAAATAAGAAAAAAGTGAAATATTGTTAGAGTCTTAAAAAAAATGGATCTGTTGGAAATGGTTTGAATTGGAAAAAAATGATATTAAATAGATTACAAAAATTGTTATGATGAAATAATGAAATAAAATAAAATATCATCAATTGCAATTTATATTTGAGATCAAAGTTGAATTTATATACACTTCTTAGCATTACAAAAAAACATTGTATGGCAATATAATAAACAGATCATTTCACATAAGTTAATAAGGATCACATGCCTTATTTTATATACATCAAAAATCATGTACCGGGAAAAGTTCATACCAATAATAATATGACACAATTTGGACGACAATCATATTCACAATAATAATATCAGAAGATTTCACTCAAATACTAGGTTGTTTGACATACTGCCTGTATATATGAAGAACCTATGTAATTTTTCAAATCCTAATGTATAGTAAACATGTAATCAAATATGACATTCTCACAGTTTATTTGTAAGGTAGTGTTAACATAATTTAACTCATCAAAGACAAACTAATCAAAGTTTTAGCTTAATAAAATGTTTAAGATATGCAAAAATTAATTATATTCTTTTGAAAATATATTTTCTCCTTGCTTATATTCATGAAAGATTTTTTTTTTATATTGCGCTATATATCATCATTATGTATATGATAGTAATCGGCTTCATTCAAACAGATATATTTATATTTTAACAAAAATAAACTATAGAACTTATCAGGTTCGTAAATCAACTTCCAGTGAAAGAAAATTATGTTAGGTTTAGAATTATCATATCTGAAAAATCATATTATATATGAATGGATAAATAGAAATCTAGACAATATCATTTTACTGTATAAATAATTCCAGTAAATATAAATAGATGTATCCAGAGTAAAACTACTTATTTTTTTTTCAAACATATATATTTAAATTAACCTGTGCATAATGGGAATACCAAAGCTTAATTTAGTTATGTAGATCAAAATATGAAAATATTTGGAATCAAATTTATGGATATTAGAAATACTGTAAAAAATTACGAAATTACTTGTCGATACCAAATATATCTACCTTTCATGTGACAGAAATAAACACATTTATGTATGTCTCTATGTCTAAACTTCTGTCGCACAATCACGGCAATGCAGGGGATAGAATGATGGCAAGGGGCAACCTACAAGATGCTCCAAAGCATCGAGGGCCGAATTGGGAACAGGGTTTGACAGGCATGGCTCAAAACCACCGGGTGATCCCGGAAATGCGCCACAAAACGTCCGGGGCTACGAAAATATCCGGACGACCCCGGATATTTTCGGAAAAAATTTCCGGTGGTTCTCAGTGGATTCAAAGCTATTGAGTCCGCTATTTACGTGTGAGTGCTCCCAAATTTTTTTCAATAAAATGACATTTACAACGGGTGTCCCCGGGTTTAACCCTTAAAATCCTCCGGGTGTAGCCCCCTCTTAGCAAGAGTGCACCAGCGGATTCCTCCGGTTGTCCCCCTGTTCCGGAAGTAAGTTATCTATTCCCGGGGGATTCCCAGGGGAATGTCAAACCCTGATTGGGAACACAAATATTTGTCGCTCTAACGGAGAACGCCACATCTGAGATCACACGTTGTAAGTGAAAGACGATACAGAGGGAAAGTTATATCTCCTCTGAAAGCTTAAGACCCTCGCACATATTAACGATTCTGTTCAGGTCTGCTGCATTTAAGAGTGGACATACCTTAAAGAGAGTGGTTCGATTCGAAGTGACAAGACGGTGTGTAAGTTTCAGATTTATATAGTCAGCGCAACTGCCAAAGGAGCCTCTACTTCGTCAGCAGAGGCTTTCGTATAGATAACATGAACATTTTCACGCCTGTGTTGAAGGTCGACCCTCGAATAGCAGCAGTACTAAGAATGGGCTTTAACTCACACGCTTGTCTTTTAGGTCTGACAATGCAGACGATGATGGAACTGGTGAATCAATCACGCTCGACCAAAGGAGCTGTATTCAGTTGGATATATGCTAAACTGCATATGCAGTACGGCATATTCGGTTGTTCAGTGTCCACATTTGTCGTATCACGTTACTTGAAACAGTAAACAAAAAAATCGAAGATCGAGCCTCGAGGTAGTGTGATTTGATGATGCGGTCGTGTTTTCGAGGTGGCTCGACGTACGACTTGCATTGATTGCAAGAGTAACTCAAATTGGTCTCCGGAATGACACCTGGAGCGATTAGAGAATTGCGAGAACACAAAGAAGGAAAGGTCTGTGTTTAAGCCATGCCTGCGGCTTAAGTGCTTACTTGGTATCGAAGCCCAAGGTCATGTATCCAAGTGTACATTATCGAGTGTAATGTGTGTTAGTCACATGAATGGGCAATGTGCGTGGCCAGTCACATCAGTTCTTTTCTTGAGCTTCTTGTTTTCGGAAGAGGACCTTTCACATCTGCCAAATCTTGCTCGCTTCAGCTCTGTAGGACAGGCGACGGAAACGCTGTGCTTTTGCCGACTCAGAGCAGGCAGAAAGCCTTACGAGGGAATATCTTAGACACTACAAAAGCGTTTTAATCAGAAAAAACTGGAAATCAGGGTTATCCATGCATGCCCATGAATTATCATTCGACAATTGAGCACGACCTACAGGGATCTTGACAAGGAGAAATGGGCGAAACCGCCGGAGTTTGTCGAGCATTGTGCATATAGAATCATTTTCCTCCAATCGCATTATCAATCTTATTTACCAATCGGTGCACATGCTTCTACGAAGCATACGCAAGAAATCACTCACAATTTTCTACGGCTAGGACCTAGTCTAAAATCTACGCGATTCTACGCTAGTTCTCTAGTCTCGGTTGATCGGTCAAAGCTGCAGTATCTACATTCTCTATTTCTCCGTCTATGGAGCTAACGACTGGCGGTATTTGAATGTCACATACAGTCTTCTCGTGGGATGAACCCTGCTATCATGCGAGACTGTAAGTGGACGGAACGATTCCAGTCTGCGCCGAGGAACACTGAAATAAACAGCACACTCATTCGTCCGTGAATCGACAAGGGAAGCCACACAAGATTGCCCTAAGCTGTGACAGTAACCGCGTGCGGTTGAATGCTCTTCGTCCCATCCGAGAGCATGGCAGCCCGCCGACTTCCGTCCTCCGCTACGTAGTCTATGACCAAGGATGCGAGGCGACCACGCTCCCTCAGCGTTCTCCGATCCGCTGCCTTCTGGGCAGGCGAAGGTTGCGGCTCGCTCGTCTCGACGGGCATGGACGGTGTTCTTTCTACAAAGTTGGTTCGTTTGTCGCTTTTGGTTGGGGCGATGGACGAGTCGTTGCTCCTTACGAATCTCCGCGAACTCAAAGATTGCGGGGACACAGCTAAGCCGCCGAGACTGTGCGCAATTTCCCTTCTCAGGCTGCTCGTACCGGAAAAACTGGATCTCAGAGGGTCAGCACCTGTTCTCCAAGAAGATGGCGTCCCAAGAACTTGCAGATCGCTGTCCGAAACCCTTGAAGAATCGGAGAGATTTCTTAAGCGCTTCCTAATTGAAGTGTGGCTTCTAATCAGAGACTCTGCGAGAGAAACATCCCCATCGTCTATGATGCTGCCTTCGTCAAAGATGGACAAAGACTGAGATTGACAAGTCGTCTGGGACTGGTAGGACGACGACGAACTGGCGCTCAGGCTTTCCGTGGCCTCTGCCCTCACGGCTGGATTCGATGCAACGGATGAATTTCTGGCCGGCTTCCCACCAAAGCGCGGGAGAGGGACTTTCTTCCTGATGGTACGAAGGCCTTCCACGACGTCGGCCATCGACGGGCGCCTGTCTCGGGAGAGTCTGACACATCGGGCCGCGATGGCAGCGAGCTGCTTCACAGCCTTGGCATTCTGAGGAGGTTTCAGGGCGGGATCACACAAAGAAAGTGCTTTCCCCTGTTTGATGAGAGGCACAGCCCAGTCGACAATGCTAGAAGGATTGTATCTCACGTCGATGGCATTTCTTCCACTCATAATCTCGAGCAGCAGGATTCCAAAGCTGAAAACGTCCGACTTGGTGCTCAGTTGCGATGGAGTCTCGTACTCGGGGTCGATGTACCCCATCGTTCCTGCCGGAGGGGTTCTCTGCCGCACTACATCTTCCAAGTGCCCTCGGAGAGCCAGGCCAAGGTCTCCAACTTTCGCGTTCCAAGATGCATCCACCAAAACGTTCGAAGATTTGATGTCTCGGTGAATGATGGGCGGAGAAGCGGAATGCAGAGCGGCCAGCGCTTTGGCAGCTTGCAAAGCCATGTGCACTCTCAGAGGCCAGCTCAGGGGCTCCGAGGCATTGCCGTGGAGGAGCTCGTAAAGAGTGCCATTCCCCATAAACTCCACAACGAGCAGTTTCTCGGGAGTTTCATTCGAGTACCCAATCAAGTTCACCAGGTGCCGATGCTGCAATTTGGACAAGATTTCCAGCTCGTTGTCGAATGAAGACACGTCCTGCAAGCCTCTGCGCGCCACCGTCGGTCGTTTCACCGCCACAGTCCGCCCATCGGCCAAGGTGCCTCTGTACACACAGGAGTGGCTTCCCTTGCCCAAAAGATTGGCCTCGGAGAACGACTGCGTAGCTTTCAGCAGCTCCGTGGCCTTGAACACCTTCACACGCACGTTCTTAGAGGGCTGCGTTTTGCAGGAATCGCAGATCATCACGGCGGAGCTCCCTGCGCAGTTCGAGAGGTAGCCCATTACAAGAGCTGACAATGGAACCGGTCATCACCTCACCGAATCATGAGGCTAAACGGCAACCCAAGTGATCGACTCGTAAAGAGCGATCTACAAAGGCCAGATGTTCAGTCGACTTCTGTCATGGGCTTCCTCATCATCGATGCTTCCTCGTACTGCTCCGCTCTACACGGGAGAATAGCTTCACCGCTACCAGATGTCGTGGAATCCTTTCCCCTTCCAGCGCTTGCCTGTACTTCGACTTCACTTGCGAACCATGCGGGCAGTTGTGCAAGAGCAATTCGAGGGGGCTACTGAAGCTGAAAAATTGAAAAGCCTGCACCTAAAGGTCTGATGATCCCACCCCAGGCCAGGGATCTGACCCCATTGCCCGTATACAAGATCCATTTCTGCGAGGCGTACAACCCAACATCACCAATTCGCTGAACCCTTCGTCCCGGCGACTGGCGACAATAAGAATAAAGTGCGAAATGGGCCCATGAGCTAGAAATTGTACACCGTCGACGGCTCGTGCCTAGGAGAACAAATTCATGGGGACTGAAGGCAGTCCGCCTCAATCACGGTCGCCCGGATGGTAGGGCGAGCTGCGTCTGCGCGGCACTTGGCCGGGAAACCTCAACCATCGCAATCGACCACAGCGAGAACAACAGACAGAACGGCGGCGGACGACGAACGCGCGGGCAGTGAAGGTTCGCAGAGCACTGCCGCCGGAACACCTGCCTGCCCGAATCCAAAAGTCTGAAACCACCTGTCCATGATCCCAACCTGACCAATTCGAGCTCGGCCGCCTCGCAGCTCTCGCACAACTCCGCTGGGCTGCGTGCTGGGAGTGCGATTTAAAGCTGGGCGAGAATCGGCCCACAGCGCAACATAAAGCAGGCATCAACCTTACCCATCGGGACGACGAAAGCCCGCACATGCACGAACACACATGCTCCGGACTCCAGCACAAGACGGATTCCGGTGCAGAGCAGGCTGGCCATAAAGCCAGCCGGACCCACATTGGCACATCCCTTCACCCGGTCAGGTCTTCGCGTCCACCGGCTATTGGCCGCTGCGACCCTGTGACCTACCGGCGTCTCCAAATCCCATCCAGCCAGCTAGCGGCAGCTGCCGCCAACTTTGGAGATTCCCTGTGTCCACAAGGACACGAACACCGCCAGCATAATTGCAAACCCATCGCTACCTCTCCACTGATTGCCTGTCGTGCGGGCCTACCACGGCAGCACCACCTTCGCCACGGAAAGGAGTCAGGTCCTTTTCATGCTCACATCAACTTTATCCGTCCCTTCCAAACGGTTCGGCGTTGTTATATTCCTGTTCTAAGAGGCCGCATTTGGCTGGACTCAGGAACGGAACTGCGCCGGTACAGCCTTGTAGAGCATATTTCCGCACAGTAGGTACAGCAGATTACCCGGTTCCGTTCACGCAGTGGGCAGGGTTTTCAAGTGCTTGGGAAGCATGCCGTGAATGCACGTCCAGACTAAAACTGGTCGTGTAGTTCTCAGCACGTACGTACGTGGGACGAGAATGATTGGTTTCAGCTTCATCCGATACTGTACCGACTTCAAAGGGCAGCGCTGGCTTTCTTTGTTGGATTCAGCGCGGAGTCAGAGGTGGGTCCTTCCGTGCGGAGTGGGTTATATTTCCGGTGATTTAACCGCGCTTCTAGTTGTTTTGTCCATCATATTCCATTGGATTGTCACACGTAGGAGTGTGACAAGGAGTGGTGTGAATTTACCTCTTGTCAAGCTTCCTTCATTGGCTAAAGCAATCCCCACCGTATGCATCCGGGCTGAAGGCCGGCTTTCAGAGGCACACCGTTCAGGCCTCACTGTGAACCACCGCTAGCCCAAAATGAACTGCGATACTGCATGGCCACCGTGAACTATGAACACTTAACTATGAACTCTGAGCAATACTGTTCATAAAACTCAACTTACAACATTGCGATTGAAGGGTCACAATAACCTCGCAATCGCTCTCTCAAGAATGAGCAAAAACCAAGTACAAGTAAAATGGTTCTCTGCATTCCTCCTGAATGTCTCACTTCACTCAAGTCCACTTTCTGCATTGCTGCGAAAGTGTCAGACCAAGCACATCAGATTGTTTACCATTGTTGCAATCACAAGAATGTGACATTCAAAGCTCATCAAAAGACTGCATGTGACTAGATGTGATCTACAATGAGATGGGTTCAATCTAAATTGTCTTTATCTTGTAGTTGAGAGGTAAAAAGCTATGATTTTATTGTATTTTATGTTTAACAAAGCAAAAACACAATGCTTATGTAGTTCTCAATGAGATTGTACTTATGCATGAATATGAAATTTGTAAGCAGAAATATGCGCAATAGAGATAAGGATTTCTGTTCAAGCCATTGCTAAAGTTCAATTTAATGCAAATGTTGTGACGGGAAAACTCAAAAATTACACGAAGACAGAAATAACATGATTTATCCTCAGCCAGAGGCTACGTCCACCCAAAACTCTTAGCACTTTACTCCATGTCTTGTCAGAAATACTTAATATATAGGGAGAACTCCGAAGTATTTATCCAATTTTTTTTATTACTTTTTTCTTTCTATAACCTTCTCTTTTGTGTTTAGCTATAAATAGCTAGGACCCGAGGTTACTCCTTAATTGGAGTTAAACTGAACATATGTCTTGTACTGTACATGGAAATTAGTCCATTCTTTTGTGGAGATAACTTGCATTTCAAAAGAAGTATAAATGAAATGATTTTGTAAATGATGAAATCAAAAGTATTATTGATTTTGAAACTTTATTTTAGATAAGTCAAAACAATAACAAACCAGTATACAAGACAACTTGGATAAAAAATCATTTTTGATAATGTGCTTTTGGGCATGAAAAAAAATTCTTAACTAAATTCAAAAACAAAATCTATACATCTCTTAATAAAGGTGGTGAAAACAAAAGACATAGAACAAGAAAAATAAATTTCAATTTTTATTTAAAAAAAATATGTATGCAATTTTGTTTGTTATAAACTATAAAGTTGAGCTTGATATTGCAATCATATTACAATCAAATGTTATTTTATTTTGTATATATTTTATTAAAAATATTTTTTTGATGTACACACTGAAATTCTGCAATTGTTATTCATTGCAAATTTATATCAATATTGATTATATTTATGCATATGTATTTTAAAAATTATTGTATTGACAAAGTTGAGAAATTCACAAAACTTGTGCAAAAGATGAAATTTGTTCTTCAAATTCAAGATGTGCGTATGTTTAAAAAGTTCAAACGAGCTTAAAAAGTTGATCTGACAATTATCTAGATGAAACTATACTATTTCACAAATCTTCAACAAAAATTTGAAGCAAAATATTCAACAAGAGTGTGAAATTATTCTTTTTATAATCTGACTCTTTCTATGATTCATCAGAGGAGCAAACTATGAGCTATACAAATTGAAAGATCTGCACAATATAAAAGCAAACGTGGTAGAAAAAACATGTAGATTTCATCAGATTTATCAACAATATGTGCAAATTTGGATTAATGCTCATCATTTTTTGTGTTTTTATAAAAATAGCACCCAATTAATACATCATCTCAAGACTTTATGTTTGTACTTAAATTTGAGTGGTAGTTAGATACGGAATTCTTATTTTAACAATAAACTCATTGTCATGAATAACATTTCTGACAAACAAATATGATTTACATTTTGCTAAATTTGTATCATTGACTTCTCTATTTTAAATCATGTAATCAAATATATTGTACTTATTATTTTCATTAATGGATTTATTATCATCACACATTGCATTTATTTGATATCAATATAATATCAATATATATTAAATCTTACCATTAGCAATTTTCATTTTATATTCTACTTTTTTTGATTATCATAAAATGATATTATCAATTATCAGGACCATTCAATGTAAATAAACAACAAAAATGATGATGAAAAATTTTGCAAGAGTTAAAATTTGCAATCTTGAAAATTTGAATGAAAAATTATAATGTTTCATAATTTATTGTGAACCAAAAAAATAATCGCATTAAAATGTTTACTTCCAGATATTTAAATTATTTTTTTCAAATTTCATATTCAAAGATATTTTTGTCTATTGACAATTGGTGAGTGCAACTAATTTATACTTGTAGTTTCAAATCTAAAACACAATTTACAAATGTAACGGAGTGAAAACACTTCTAGAATCACTTGTGGAAGGTTTTGACTGCAAGCTAAGTGCTGAAACGGAGAAAGTTACCTCGGCTGGTTGAACCTCCAATTGAAAACGGAGATCATCATTCGGATGATGAAGAAGATGATGATGAGATTAAGACTCATTGTGTGTCTAGGGGAGTGGAGAGCTATGGCTATATTGGATGAACTAATTCATTTTGTGTTTTCTTTGATGAACTAGTCAAGGATGAAATTAGTGTTGTTTATATTGTATTAGGAAGTTACATATAAATTTCTAATAGAAAAAAAATAAAGTAAAATAAAATAAAATAGTTTGAAGTGGGGAAACTTCCGGTGTTTTATGAGAGGGCGAATAAGGATGTGGAAGCTTTTGTTAGGGATTTCAAGAGGGCTTGCATATGAAATAATGAGAAGAAGAAGGTCGAGTGGGCTATGCTTTTGCCGAATTTCTTGGAGGATTCGGCTCTCAAATGGTACCAAGAGTACAAGAGTGAACATGTGGAGTAGAACACTTGGGAGACGTTGACGGAGAACCTCATCAAAAACTTTCTTTCCAATGAAAGTTATGAAAAGCTTATGTGTGAGGTCACTTTCTTGAAACAAGGAGAGAACAAAAAAGTGAGGACCTAAGTGGAGAGAATTGAAAAGTTGGAGTCTAAATTCCACGTGGTGTTGAGGAAGGATGGAGACGAACTGGATAGCTACAATGGTGGAGATACGGGCAATGCTCATGAAGAACTTTGTTTGAGGTTTGAGACCTTAGATTCGAAGTAAGATGAAATATGAGAAGACCTCTTCTAAGGCCGAAGCCATTCGAATTGCTATTAGAATGAAAGAAAGCTTAGAAGATGATGATTCTAGCTTGGTGGCTAGAGAAGTATCTCCACCCGTTGTAGTAAAATCCATTGCTCTAAATCCTGCTAGTTCATCCACGGTAGCGAATCCTAGTGTAGATTTTCAAAATGAATTAATATCTATCACATAGACTCTAGCGGACCTCAAGTTCAATGTAGTACAATTGTGGGAGAGGAGGAATCAAATTCTAGTGGGAATCTCTAAAGGGTATGGAAATTATACTCCAAGAGCAAATCCACCTCCTAGAAACTTTGCGGTTTCCTGCTTTACGTGTGAAGGTCCTCTTTTTCAGCGAAATTGTCTTAACCCTCGAAAACATGATGAAGTTCGGCACAACAACAATGCATTAGCCACACAACAAACCAAGAATAAGGGAGTAGCATCCATTGATGTATTCCCTCATCAATGCACTTTTGAGAAGGGAAAAAGCTCAAAGTCAAAGATTTATATTTTTGCTCATAGAAAAAACGTGCGGACGAGTCGATTTTCATGGAGGACACGTCAAGCCGAAGTACACGGTGAAGTGGAGTTAGTCAACCAAGAGTACTAAGGAAGAAGTTGGGCATGGATGACTTTTCCATTTCATCTTCTCAAGCTAAGTATGATGTGATGGAGGATATATGAAATCAAAAGTCCAATATAACAGTTGGTCAACTGATTGCCTTGAATCTAGCCATTCAAAAAAAGTTAAGAGGAGGTCTTAGCTCCACAAGGACCAAGAAGCGAAATCCAAGGGGAAGGCTCACATGATTAATGTGGGAGTCGCTTTGATGGATGCAGCTGCTTCGG